TATGCAAAATACTTCCGATCCGTTGACCAGACACTATCAGCAACAACTTACTGTGGCAGAAAACAAACCAGATTCCAATGAAGGAAGAAATGAGGAAGAAGTGCTGGAAGTGGATAGGACACATATTGAGGAAAGCACCGAACTGTGTGTCACAAGGCAAACCCTCATCATTTGAAATCCTCAAGGCCAAATAAAGTAGAAGAGGAAGACGAAAGAAGAACACATTACACCGAGAAATGGAGACAGACATGAGCAGAATGAACAGCAATTGGATGGAACTAGAAAAGAAGTGTGTTGGAGAATGCTGGTCAGTGACCTATGATCCATCAGGAGTAACAGGCGTAAGCAAGTAAGTAACTTTCAAGTCGTAAATTCAACTAATATCCAGATGTCGACTTCTACGAATACCATCTATTCTAACAGAAACTAATCAAATCTGAATCACTTACTTACTTACTAACACCTGTTACTCCCGATGGAGCATAGGCCGCCGACCAGCATTCTCCAACCCACTTTGTCCTGGCTCTTCTTTTCCAGTTCTATCAAATTTCAATATTGAATATTATTAATATCGATAAGGTCTTAGTTTTCTTCTTTCTTCTTCATAAAGATAACCAATTTCTTAAAATCTAACTAAACATAATCTTTGATTCGTAAATATTCAATATCTAGTACCCATGAAAAGATGACTAATGATTAAATCTTTTCTTTGCGATAGAAACAAATTTCACTTAAGAAAAAAACTTAATCTCGGTTTGAAATTCATATCACTTTGATTGATTGATTTATTTATTGATTGGATCGATTGATTGATTTGATTTGATTAAAATGATTTGAATTTATTTATAGCGGTAACACTTAATCGATATTGAATTCAACATTGTGTACGGTAAGAAATTATATGATTGAATGATTTAGAATAACAAAGATATATAAGCGAATCATATTGTTTTGGAATAGATCCTCATCAGGTTTTACTCTAATATACAGTCATGTTTCTATAGGCATATACGAGTTCGTCTACAAACTGATGCCTCCTAAAGTTCTGTCTGATAAGGTCGCAAAGAAAGAGTCGAAGGTTAAACTGCCAAAGGTTGATAAGAAGAAGAAGAAGGGGAGGAGGAAAGAGAGTTACGCTATCTACATCCATACGAAATGAATTAAATTAATCAAGGTAGAATATGAATCAATGATGATAACAGTGGAATAGATTACAAAAATAATTGAAAAGTATGAATTGGTAGTGTGATGACAAGTATAATAGTTGTGACTGACTAAAGCAGTGAAGAGGACGCTTAATGCAGTCAAGCTCTATTTATCGTACTCGTTCCAATCTATGATGATTTCTCAACTAAAGGATAAGTTACCTGGTTGTGCCACTTCCATATGTATCTACGAAGTCAGCTACTCCTGTGGAGAAAGCTATATTAGACGTACCACCAGACAGCTGAGCCAACGAGTTAGTGAGTACCTCTCTTCGTGGTTAGGAAAAGGTACTGTCGAGACAATACTCAGCTCTTTTCTATCACACTTGATCAATAGCCCTCACGTAGTAGACAGAAATAAGTCATTTAAAGTTATTTATCGTATTCCTACTAGTTTTCCTTATGATGTACGATCTCTTGTCTTACACATAGCAGAAGCTATAAGATTTCGAGACAAACAATCTAAGTTTTTATGTAGATAAGAAATTTGTAACACCCTTTCTCTCCCTTCGCATTATTAAATGATTTTATTTATTATTATATTCCATACTCTCTCTTCGTTTATTTTTTCCCCCCCTCCTACCATTTTGTTTTATTTTCTTTCAAATATACGTTTCACGGCTCAATTATCTGAACACTCGTTACGTAATCTTACGATTTTTGATTGAAATCATGAGTCGATTGAAGCTGGACCACCATGGAAAACCTGGAAGCACTGGACGGCCGTTTCGTCCTAGTATGGAACTCCTCAGCAGTGCGCATCCACGATTCCGCAACTCGCGAGATTCGAACACAGGACCTGTCAGTCTCGCTCCAGGGGCTTAATTAACTAGACCACTGAGCCGGCTGACATCCAACGGTGTTAATGTCTAACCTCAACCAATCCACGAAATTGCGCGACCATCTTCCATTGCACTGAGGTAGACACCTGTTTCTACCCGACACGGATTAGCTCCACTGGTCACGGCTTCTCACCAGAACTCCGAGAGTTTTCTCACGAAGCTATTCACTAGTGAGCGCATGTTAATTATCAGTTTTTTTATCAATGTTATTTCAGTGTTTAAATTTTTTCTAATCATTGATCTATTTCGCATTATGTAAAATTGATTCATACCTTTATTATTCCTTATTACAACTAGTATACTTGTCATCACACTACCAATTCATACTTTTCAATTATTTTTGTAATCTATTCCACTGTTATCATCATTGATTCATATACTACCTTGATTAATTTAATTCATTTCGTATAGATGTAGATAGCGTAACTCTCTTTCCTCCTCCCCTTCTTCTTCTTCTTATCAACCTTTGGCAGTTTAACCTTCGACTCTTTCTTTGCGACCTTATCAGACAGAACTTTAGGAGGCATCAGTTTGTAGACGAACTCGTATATGCCTATAGAAACATGACTGTATATTAGAGTAAAATCTGATGAGGATCTAATACTTTGACACAAGGACTTGGTTACTAATCTAATTCAGAACTAATAGACAATAACAAGAACTAATCATAGATTTTAAATTATTTAATCTAGTTGAAAAATAATTCCTTTATAAATAAGGTTTTCTCTTTCCTGACAACAGTTTAGTTTAATGTTTACAGAAAAAAAATTAATAATAATAAAGTGCCTAAACTTCTTGTGATAAATTATTTTTGATTGAGATCTTGAACCAATTGATGTTAGACCATCACAACTGAAAACCTGGAAGCACTGGACGGCCATTTCGTCCTATTGTGGGACTCCTCAGCAGTGCGCACCCACGGTCCCGCGAGCGGGATTCGAACCCAGTGCTTCCAGTGCTTCCAGGTTTTCAATTGTGATGGTCTAACATCAATTGGTTCAAGATCTCAATCAAAAACTTAATAAATTATTTTCTCTAAATGATAGAAATAAAGCCAAAACGAACACTGATGCAGAATCATGTGAATTCATTGTATTTTATAGTTTCTCATCAGTTGCTTACAACCAAATGTGGATTAGAATTTTACATTGAGGTAAGATATAGTGTGAAACAATTGACATAACTGAATGTAAAGAATTGGAATGAAAAAGATTATCAATAATAACTATATGTATATGTGCAAGAACAGGTCAGAGGTTATTTGGTGTTAGAAACAAGGAAACATTAGGGATAGAGGATGTAATAGTTGAGGGAGTTCAGAGACAGATAAGATAAATTGTGTGATAATTTCAGAGGTCATAAGGATTCATAGAATTAAAAACTAATAAGATGGGTGACGTAATAATTGGATAGGATTTGAAGAGTTTACATAGTTTAACAGAATCGAGTGAGTGGAAATATATGAGTGAAGGGGTGGTTTAAGAATTAGGTAATGGGAAGAGAACTATAACAAACTAAACACTAACCAGGGTAGTAATAGGTTTATTACTGTCTCGTTTTGAATACATAGATCAGGTTTGAGTTTAGTTTTATCGTGATCATTTCAGCAAAACGGAGAGTAGCAGTATTTCTTTGTCTGTTAATAATTTTAAAAGCATGAAGAATGTCAGTGGTATGCCCGATGTCAAATAAATGCTGAGCTATTGCACTGTTAAGAGCCCTTGTAAGCGGCTGATGAGAAACTACGAAATATAATGAATTCATATTAATCTGCATCAATGTTCGTTCTGGCTTTATTTAAATTCATAAAGTCAACTAATTACATGAAATGATATAAATAGCTTGAATTGATTATTCATTAGAATTAAACTAATTCTATGTGATTAAGATCATGAACTGATTGATGTTAGAAAATCATTGAAACTGGATGATCTAACATCATTCAGTTCATAACCTCAATCAAAAGCTTAATAATCTCGACAATCCGTTACTGATAATTCTATATACTTAAACCTTGTCCCTGTACTTTTCGAATGACTAGATGTTATATATATATATATGTATATGTACATAAATCATTTAGTTTACTGATTATGTAACAACATATTCAATGAAATTAAATGATTGTACTTCAAACACACACACACACACACAGAGATGAATCCGATTATTACTGAGTAACTTTATGATAAATCTGTAAATACACCTTTAACTTATTTGTTTTTAAAATAATCACTGATCGTTACAAAGTAACTCATATTCAAATTCATGATAAACTTGATTATTCATGATTACAGATGTACTTGGATAACAGGTATTAATTAGCAACAGAAAAAAACAACTCAAAACCCAAACATATCTCTTCTGATTATTTTCATTCAGCTTCCATTAAATTAAATCTACCATTATAAATATCAACTTAAATTAGTTGTCTGTGAAGTGATATTTTGGTGTGAGTTACTTATATTCATATAAATAGTATATAACAGTGGACAGGCATAAAATGTATTTCAAGAAGGAAAGAACGGGAACAGACAGCATTTCGTATGAAAATGGATGTATAATGAAACCTGAGACAATAGACTAATATTTACAAATCGATTATTTACTATATGGATCTCAGATTGTATTAAGATATTCTGTAATTTCATGTCCGAATATATTTGGTTGTCCCCACTCGTCCTCTTGTTCACTACAATATTCCTAACAAGATTCTGTAATAAATATTATAAACCATTTCTAGATTTTGTAAAATAACAAATAACAAATAAACAAAAGCACAGACAGATAGTAGTTAGTAATGGAATACATTTTGAAGCACGTTTCGTCCTATCCGGAACTCATCAACTGAATGCAACTGTACCATTCAATTTTAAAAAGGAAAAAGAACCAAGAAAATGAAAACAACCAATAAAATCAATTAAGAATAATGAATATTCCTTAAACTACTTACTTCTTTGATCTTATTCCAATTCATTTATTAAATGTGAATATTATTCTTTCATTATATTAGTTTTTAATATGATTTTATCTTTTTTTTTAAAATGATTAATGAATAAACATAATAGCATGTATTGTATTCCGAATGTATCCGTTAATATTTTGACTTTCCCTCGCTCTTTTTGTTTTCTTTATATGATTACTTTATGAGGATTATTATAAGATCTATGCAAAGATCCCAATATGGATCATTGAAATGATGATATTGTTAATGATGGAATCAAATCATTCACAAGATGTAATAATATTTTCCAACAAAAAAAAGTGAATGTTGTAATTCATGACATAAATAGCTGAACATGAGTTTTGATTGGTTAATTAAACTGACCAATAAAAATCATTGAAATTATTTATTTAACTAAAAATTATTATTATCATTACCTTCTGATAATAATCATCTGCTCGCTAGTGACTAACTTCAAGAGATACTCCTTGAGTTCTAGTGAGAAGCCGTTACCAGTGGAGTTTGAACTATGTCTGTTATGAGATATCAACTTACTGAAGACAATGGTGTACGGTGCCTCAACTTTGTGGATTGGTTGAAGTTAGACATTAACACCGTCGGATGTCAGCCGGCTCAGTGGTCTAGTTAGTTAAGCCCCTGGCGCGAGACTGATAGGTCCTGTGTTCGAATCTCGCGAGTTGCGGAATCGTGGATGCGCACCGCTGAGGAGTCCCATGCTAGGACGAAACGGCCGTCCAGTGCTTCCAGGTTTTCCATGGTGGTCCAGCTTCAATTGACTCATGATTTCCATTAGTGGAATTGTTATGAATAGTTGAGTTAATAAGTCAATTGAAGCTAGACCATTATGCAAAATTTGAAAGAATTGAATAAATGTTTCGTTCTATTATGGGGCTACTTAGCAGCGTGCATACACAATTAGTGCTTCCAGGATTTCTATCGTCGTCTAGATTCAATTGACTCATGATCTCAACTATTGAAATTACTAGAATATCTACAAAAAACCCATTCTCATACTAATCAACATATACTCATCAGTGAATGGATTCAATAGGCATTTTCTGGAGTTCTAATGAGAAGCAGTGACTAGTGGAGTTTAACTGGGTCTGTTGTGAGATAGTAACTGACTGAATAAAATGGTGGATGTGTCGCTCAATTTCATGGATTAGTTGAAGTTAGACATTAACACTGTTGGATGCCATCCGGCTGATTGGTGTAGACGTTAAGTGTTCGAGTGCAAGACTAATAGGTCTTGTGTTCAAATCTCTCGAGACGTGATCGTGGATGTACACTGCCACCGGGGAGTCTCACAATAGGACAGTTTTTACAATAGTGGTCTAGCTTCAATTAACTCATGATTACAACTAATGAAATCTCCCTAAAACGTCTGATATTAAAATTTTTTTTAGAACAGATTTTAATTTAACCATAATCTTAAAATATTTCCATGGTCATTTAGATTTCGTTTCAAAGTATATCTGTCTTCTTATTTAAATAAATATTTATTCTTTTTTTTCTGGTTCGTTCATAGACATGGTTGAACTTGCTTTACAACATGATTTTGTATTACTTCTTCATGGACAAAAAATTAATAACACTTATTGTTAAAGTGTGAAGAATATATGAATATGAATAATGACCATTCTTTGTTTTTAAGTAAAGATGATTACATCTTAAAATTAATGATTATAATCTATGTAATTGATCAGTCTTTTGTTGTAAACGCCCGTCCTACATTCTACTGTTAGCCACCATCCGTATTTGCTTAGAATGCTTGTGACTTAAGGAAATATTGATGTAATCCGTACACCATACACATATACCAACAAGTTAATGATCAATTGTAGTCCTAAATAAAACTAGGAAAATACGAGTGAATTTAAAACCTCACTGCATTGCACAAGCAAGTGACTATCAGGACTCATTAGCTAAGTGGATAACACTATAGCATTTGAAGCGAATGGTACTGTGTTCGAGTCCTGAAGAGAACACCAACTATGAAATACAAGTACATCTAGCTGACAAGTCCCATATATGACAAAATACTTATCCTACTTTCCACTAAAATTCCACGTACCGAAATAAATGGTTGCTCTAGTTGTCAGAACGGGTATCCGCCTCATGACTTCCGAAGGAACTCAGCTTTCATCATGAGGCGTCATAACTCTCCTAAATGAAGACTTTCTGAATCCCAGGACAGAGTTTAAAAGGTTTGAATAATTTTTTCTGGCTAGCGTTTTTTTAGCGAGTTAGTTTTCTACGGGATGGGGTTGCTAACCCCATGCCCAACCCTCCTCCTCTATCCGGGTTTGGGACTGGCAGTAGCCCCCAAAGGGACTCCAGGAGGAGTTGGATAGAACTACAAAACAAGGCCCAGGACAGAGTGGGTTGGAAAATGTTGATCGGTGGCCTATGCTCCATTAGGAGTAACAGGCGTAAGTAAGTAAGTTTCCACTACTAAACACCATTTATCTTTATAAGCAAAGATGGATAGTGGCTAGCAGTGGAATCCAGGACGCGCGTTTCGTTCTGTTTGGGACTCGTCAGCTGGATGTACCTGCATCTCAGAGTTGATGTTCACTCTGGTACTCGAACTCAGTACCATTCGCTTCAAACGCCATCGTGTTATCCACTTAGCTACTGAGTCCTGATAGCCACTTGCTTGTGCAATGGGTTGAAGTTTAATTCACTTGATATTGTTTTACTTGAATCTTCCCATTGATGTTTTTTGGACTGAAATTGATCAGTCTCTTATTGGCATATGCGCATACTGTGCGTATGCCTCGATATTGCCTTAATTTACAAGCATTATAAGCAAAGATGCCAATAAGAGACTGATCAAATTCAGTCCAAAAAAAACATCAATGGGAAGATTCAAGTAGAACAATATCAAGTGAATTACTACTTATTTTTGTTTATATATGATTAGTGTATCATTAATATATAGAAAATAGGTGACCTTAAGATTATAATATCAAGTTAGTGAACTTATTTATTTAAGTGAAATAGATAAATGTAATTGTTTATAATCACCTAGGAAAATCAATATCCGTATTATTAATAAATTTATTTATTATAATTAATTAATTCATTAATTTTTTTATTTATTAGATTTAATCAATAAATTAATTTGAATGAAAATCATTAACAGTCATTTTATGTTTATAGTAAAGAATAAAATGTAATTCACTAACTAACAACTACATATCAATGAAACAAAAATGTAGTGAAATCAGTTAAGCACTACTATTAAACTACCACTACTACCACCACCAATACTACTACTACTACTACCAATACTACTACTACTACTACTACTACTACTACTACTACTACTACTACTACTACTACTACTACTACTACTACTACTACTACTACTACTACTACTACTACTACTACTACCTCATTTAGTTAATATATAAATTCTTCAAGAAAATCATTCAAACGGTGATTTAACTTCTTATTACGTATTGTTGCTTTTATTAATATTACTATTTCTTTGGTTAGCGTTTTTTTAGCTATGTGGACGATCAAGACTTCGCAGATGATCTGACTCTTCTATCGCACACGCAGCAACAATTACAGGAGAAGATGACCAGTGTAACATCAGCCTCAGGAGCAGCATGTCTCAACATACAGAAAGGGAAAAGCAAGATTCTCCGATGCAACGCAGCATGCAACAATCGAATCATACTTGATGGAAAAGATTTGGAAGATGTAAAAACCTTAACATTTTTGGGCAGCATCATTGATGAACATGGTGGATATGATGCAGATGTGAAACCACGGATCGGTAAAGCAAGAGCAACATATTTACAGCCGAAGAATATCTAGAACTCAAAACAACTGTCAGAGTTTTCAATACAAATATCAAGACAGTTCTACTGTATGGAGCGGAAACTTGGAAAACTACTACAACCATCATCCAGAAGATACAAGTGTTTATTATCAGTCGTCTCTGCAAAATACTTCCGATTCGTTGACCAGACACTACCAGCAACAACTTACTGTGGCAGAAAACAAACCAGATTCCAATGAAGGAAGAAATGAAGAAGAAGTGCTGGAAGTGGATAGAACACATTGAGGAAAGCACCGAACTGTGTGTCACAAGGCAAACACTCACTTGAAATCCTCCTCAAAATAAAGGAGCTGAGGAAGACGAAAGAAGAACACATTACACCGAGAAATGGAGACAGACATGAGCAGAATGAACAGCAATTGGATGGAACTAGAAAGGAAGGGAGATGACAGAGTGTGTTGGAGAATGCTGGTCAGTGACGTATGCTCATTGGGGGTAACAGGCGTTAGTAAGTAAGTAGGTAATATTATTACTAGCTTTATTCAATGTTGTATATTTGGTACAATATAGAATTCTCAGTACAAAGTATTTCAACAAGTCTCCCATTTCTTATTTTTCGGTCGATCCTTGTGGTAAATATTGAGTTATCGCTAGTTAGATCTTAAGAGTCCAGTAAATCGATATAATGTACATTCTTTTCCATGAATACTGCCAGCAACTATAATGTCTCTGACTGGACGAAATCTCGTAAACTTGTCACAAATGTTCTTATATAGGTTCTACAACTAATACGCATAATAATGTTTTAAAATAAACATGCAAAAAAACAGATAACTTGTTGAAATATCCAGATAGCATGAACAAATCGCCTAGATATTCAAACAAGCGACCTGGAACTTCAATGAACCAGATGAAGAACCATGTATATATTTATTCATATTGAAGATAGACCACCATGAGAAACCTAAAAGTACTAGACGGCCGTTTCGTCCTGGTACGGCACTCCTCAATACTGCACATCCACGATCCCGCCTCATCAGATTCGAACCCACGATACATCAGTCTCGCACGCGAACACTTAACCTCAACACCAATGAGTCAGACGGCATCCAACAGTGTTAATGTCTAACTTCAACTAATCCACGAAATTGAGCAACACATCCACCGTTGTCTTCAATGAGATACTATCTCGCAACAAACCTGGTTGAACTCCACTAGTCACTGCTTCTCACTAGAACTCCAGAAAATAAATCTTGAAGCCAGTAACTAGTGAGGATATATATATGATCAGTACAGATAGGTTCGTGCATTGAATTCCCTCGGTTGAATTTATGTCTAACAAAGAAAGGAACATAAAACAAATCCGGACATTTTTGGATTGAGCTATCCTTGAGTAAGTTGAAAATGGTCATTTCTGATAAATTTAACGGTAGGAAGATTAAACTAGTTATTATAAATTTCCATACTGGGATTAAAGTTGATATTTCGATAT